GTCCCAGTGGACAGTGAGCAAGGCCAGCAGTCTATGTGCCTATGCGACATGGAAAGGAATGTGCAGCTGGGCCAGGAAGGTGTCCGTTTGTCTCCAGATGTTCTGAGGTTGACCCCGGGAGCAGCAACATTTCCCTCCTCAGGGCAGCCCTCTCTTTTCTCCCAGTCCCTAACCCAGTAACTGTCTGCACTGACTCACCCCGAGCGATTGGAGCTCACCCAAAGCTGAAAAGAAAGTCAGATGGGAACCAGACTCTGTCCCCTGCACCTTGCCCTAAAGCTACTTGGGATGAGGACACGGTGTGCCAAGCAGAGGCTCTGAGAGGGCAGCTCCAGTCTCTACCTCCACCTTCCCGTTCCTGTTGTGGCTCCGGTGGCGGGAGCAGCAATGGGCAGGGAGGAAAGGAGCATGAGCTGGCTAAGAATGTACACACACTCCCCTGCACACCTCCAATGAGCCCAGGCGTCGAAGCTGGTATAGATGAATCACGTCCCTGCCTCTCCATTGTAGGGACAGGCTGCACATTTCCAGAGTGCCAGGCAGCACATGGAAGGACCAAAGCAAATGCCAAGAAAATGGTAAAAACAAACAAACAAACAAAAAAACAACAACAACTTTTCTTATTCACCATTTTAGGTTTATAGATTCACAGTTGGTAGGAGCCTGGCCTGTGGTAAGTCCCATACCAGCGTTTACTAAAAAAGATAAAACCACCCTCCCTGAGAAAGCCAAGGGCAGAGGCTTTTTTCTGCATGCACTTTTTTTTTTTTTAGTTCATCTGACTAATTAAAGTATTTGTGATTTCCAGCCCACAGTTTCAATCCACCGAGGGGGATTTTTTTAGGACTTTGGTATGCCATTGGCAAAACACCTTCCAGTGAGAGAAGAACATTCCCCAGACATGCAGGGACCTGCTGGAGGGAGGCTGGGTGCTCTGCTCTGTAGTCTCGCCCCGCACAAGTGCTAATCGCCTGCTATATCTGAGGGGTGGGGGCCAAGGCTGCTCCTCACATCCCCTTGCATGTGTACCCCACCCTTCCTGCCCAACCCTAGCCAGCTCCAAATGAAAATTCCAGCCCGCATGGCCTCCTCCAAGGAGCCCAGGCCCCTTCTCTTCTTCGCCTGCAGATTGCTTATCTCCCAACACCTGGGTGGAAAACTGCAGTGAGAGGCTGACCTATGTGTCCAGGAACCCCACAATTCAAGGAACAAGACCAGACCAGCGTGGGTCTGCTGGCTCTTGCACCTATGCTGTGACCCACCGTTTGTGTGAAGGCCTTGCACAGGAAAGTGCAACTCAAGGGCCCACTTGTTACCAGGAGCCTCAGAACAAGCAGAAGGGGGCCACCTCCAAAGCCCGCCTGAGCCTGGTTAGGGGTGGGGCCTGAACGTCCTAGAGAAGTTGCTGGAGTTCCCAGCATCCCAGGGCAATCTTGGCAACACACGGCACATGAGAGAGGTCTAGGGTACCCAGCTCCCCAGTCCACAGAGGGCCAGTCTCCTCTAGGCCACCACCACGCTGAGAATTCTGCCTAGATCAAAGCTGGGACCCAGAGCTGGGTGTGGGCAGAATTCCTGCTGGGTTTGTTGGAGGCAGAAGAATTCTTCCCTCAACTCCCCCCTGAGGCAAGGGTTTTGTGTAGAGTTGCTGGGGCTCGTGCTGCTCCACCTGCCCTTCCCCATCCTGCCTATTCTGGCTCAACACTGGCCATGGGGCTGCCAACCATCGCCCTGGGAATAGGTGACTCATGCCTCAGCTATTGCTCCTACTTTGCATCTGCAGAGATGAAGATAGAGCAGCTTTCTTTCTCTTCTGGAGGGGACATGGTGGCTGGGGGATCCTAGTGAGCTCAGGTGGAGAGTGGCTTCAGGGCAGGGATAGGGGGAAGGAATGAAGGGAAGCCCAAAGAATGAAAAGTCATGAACTCTGTCCTCAGAGGGTGCCCAGGCAGAAGGGGACAAGAGACCTGGGAATTGGGTCCAGGGAAAGAAGCAGGGGGCTACAACACTCTGGGATTTGGCATGGACTGGACAGGGCCTCACACAAAGATCTAGGGGAGGAGTAGAGGGAGATGACCTATGTCTGTCAGTTTCCCTTAAAAGTGTTTGCTGAGCACCTCCAGTGTGCAGGGTTGGCCATGTGAGGGGGATCCAGATATGTCCCTTAACCTTGGGAAGTGTACTGTCCTGTGAGACCTGGAGAACATGTGCAAAACAGTAAGTGTCTGTGTTACCTCCATACCCCCTCTATGAAAGGCATGCAGGCTGCTATGGCAAATCCTAGGAGGGAGCCCTGGGCTGGTATTGCAGGATTTACCTAATCCTTGCCCCATGGATGCTTGGGCCAGTCTACTCCCTGCCAGGTCTGGGAGGTGCGCCCCTTTTTAGAAACACTGCCCCTCTTCTCCGTCCCTGTGCACCTCTGTGAGGAAGGCCTGGGCAGTCCTTCTGGTCCCCCTCTGCAGGGACGCCTGCCTGTAGGATCAGCCACAACAGCTCACTTAGCCTTGCTCTCGTCTTTTGTGGATGAGAAAAATGATGCCTGGTACAGTTAAAAGGTGTCCTGCCAAGTCTTGGTAACTGCTCCTGTGGGCACTGGGTGAGCTCCATGTAATCCCTCTGTTCCTGCTACAGTGAAATTCCAGGCTGGGGCGGGACTCTCCCACACTGCCGTGTGAGTGCCTGGCTCCCCTCAGGGGAGCCTCTCCATTGTTCATAGCTGTCCGATCTGGCATCGTGGGAGGGGCTGCCCTGCCTGCTGGAGGAGAGGGCTCCCACAAAGCTGGACAGAATAGTGTTGCTGCTCTACTGCCCCCCAGTCAGGCACCCAGACACTCCCTGCCACAATTCCTTGCCACCCACACACCGTTGGTCCCCGTCATCTGAATGAGCGCTTGACACAATCTAGTGATTCTCAGGCTGGCCAGAAGGCATTCCTGTTCCACCAGGTCCTTCCTCTTGCACAGCACAGCGGGGAGGAGGACGAACGGAGAGAAGAAAATGTCCCAGCATCTCAAGAGGGTGGAGCTCCTCCAAGCACAGTGAGGACTGTGGCACAACACCCAGGACCTATGTGTGTGGGACATACCCTGAGGGTGACTTTCCAGTGGAGAAGAGAACTCATACTAGTCCCCAGACACCTGCTTTAAGCTCGCATCGATTCTATCAAGGGCTGAAGGGCCCCTCCCCCCCCATATGCCTCAGGGCCCCTGAGACACTCACATATGTTCCCTGAAAGGCCACAACGTGTAAAATTGGTAAACTCATTAAAATTCACCTCTGAGAGTCTCAAGAATTTCCCAGGCAGGGAGGCAGCCTAACCTCATTGCCCTGAACCTGTAAGGTAGCTTGGGCCATCGATCTGTCTGTCTGGATTTACCTGTCCGCTGCTTTCCCATCACAGCCCCCGGTGAGCAATCACAGCCCCAGCAGCTCCAAGTGATTTTCCCACAGCTGTGCCTTCCTTGAGGCCAAAGAACAGGCCCTGACTAGAGATGCCAGAGCTCAGGCTGGGTCCCCACTCCTTTACTCTTAAGAACATAGCCGCTCAGCTCCGAGGCTTCCAAGCCATTCCCACCCCACCCCTACCTCCAACCCCAGCCCAGAGGTGCCCCGCCATAGCTCTTAATGACCCAAGCGCTGCCTGAGAGCCCTGCTTTTGTTTGGGGGAGGCAAAGAGGTGGCTCCATTCAGGTCTGTAGCCAAAAAGAGGAGGTGTGGTTTAGGACAGACATTTGCCAAAGCCTAACAGACCCCTCTCTTCCACCTGTTGCCACAGCCCACCCAAACAAGCTTTGCAGAGGAACTCATAAGGGGCCTCCCCTCAAACAACTGGGGCAGGTGGTTATGCCAGCTCCCTGTACCCCTAACCTGCTCTGTCTAGTCTTGCTGGCAGGACAACCTGAAGACTTAGAATTCAGTTTTCCATTGCCCGGGCCCCAAAGGAGACTTTGGGTCGGAGCCCAGAGAAAGCGCAGCAGTTCCCGCTGCTCGAGCGGGCGGTTCTCCGTTATAACAGGCCGGCGGATTCTCAACATGTTCCTGATGAGATTAGAAGCTCCTGCAGGTATGTGTTTGTGGCGGCCCTCAGCCTGTATCAACAGATACTCGGTGACTCATTCCTTGCTAGTGGCATAACCCAGGGCTTGCTGGAACACACCTGGGGGGCTGGGATCAGGCAGAGCAGCTCCCCCTGAAGAGGGACATGACTGTCAGGCTGAGTCTCAGGACTTCTGTGAGAGATCGCAGGAACCCCTGGGTTTGCTCACCCTGCGGGGTCCTGTCCAGGTCCACATGCCAGGGACAAGGTCAAACGCCACAGAAAATGATGAATCAAGAGGAGCTGTGGAGGGAGGGCTGCCCCTGCAGAGAGCAGAGTAATACAAATCAGGGACTGAGCTTGGAGCTCAGAGAGCCTTTCTGGCCCGAACCTTGCAGGAGAATCTTCCCCTGGGCCTGCGGGGATGACTGTGCCTCCCCCAAGTAAGGACGTTCTGCAGCAAAGAATAGATCTATTTTCCTACAGTTCATAGCTGAGATATCAGGCCATAGGTGCCTGCCAAGTGCTGAAAATCCTTGCAGCAACCTCCTGTCCGGGAGAGTGAGTAGGGCAGATTACTGCAACTGGGGACTCACTTTGTCTGCCACTCACGGACAGTGCATTCTGTGCTGGGACGGTTGACAACGCCCCTGGTCCTGTAAGGATCTCTCGGGACATTGGCCAAGTGCCCCCTTGCTTCCTGGCATATCTGTCTTGGGCTGGTCCCAGCTTTGGGCCCCAAAGGGGAAGTGCAACTTGCTGCCAAGGCATCAGCGCTGCAAGGCAGAGTTATTCCTAACTGAGCAGAGCCTGCCAGGAAGACAGCGTTTGCACCCTGCACCATCTGCAGGTGTGACGGTGAGCTCACAGCTGCCCCCCCAGGCGTGCCCAGCCCACTTAATCATTTCACAGCTCCACAACTGTCCCGCCCAGCCCCGTTCTAGTATAAAAGGGGGAGTGCAGGGCCAGGTAACAGAGCCACCTTCTGCATCCTGCTGAGCTCTATTCTCTCCCGCGCATTCCAACCTCCAATCTCTAGTGCCCTATCGTCTTGCTCCTCCAGGAACAAGCCATCATGTCTCGCCAGTCAAGTGTGTCCTTCCGGAGTGGGGGCAGCCGCAGCTTCAGCGCCGCCTCTGCCATCACCCCGTCTGTCTCTCGTACCAGTTTCACCTCTGTGTCCCGATCCGGGGGTGGTGGTGGTGGTGGCTTCGGCAGGGTCAGCATTCGGAGTGCTGGTGGGGCTGGAGGCTATGGCAGCCGGAGCCTCTACAACCTGGGGGGCTCCAAGAGGATCTCCATGAGCAGTAGTGGTGGTGGCTTTAGAAGCCGACTTGGTGCCGGTGTTGGAGGTGGCTATGGCTTTGGAGGTGGAGCCGGGAGCGGATTTGGTTTAGGCGGTGGATCTGGTGGTGGCTTTGGGCTCGGTGGAGGTGGTGGCTATGGGTTCATGGGAGGCGCTGGTCTTGGAGGTGGCTATGGGGGCGCTGGCTTCCCTGTGTGCCCCCCTGGAGGCATCCAAGAGGTCACTATCAACCAGAGTCTCCTGACTCCCCTAAACCTTCAAATCGACCCCACCATCCAGAGGGTGCGGACTGAGGAGCGGGAGCAGATCAAGACCCTCAACAACAAGTTCGCCTCCTTCATCGACAAGGTAGGACCTGATCCTTTGTGAAAAATTGCTATGAGTGTGGAGCAAATACCAAAGAATGTAGGAAGAAGAACAACTTCTGATTTTGTGCAAATACCCTCCTAGTTGGCAGTTGATGTGTTTCTACTTGTTTCTGGCCCGGAGTTGTGGCTCACTTTTTTAACTAGACTGCAGCTTGTAAGACAGGGTCTTAGTTCTTCCTGTTTAATTACTCCATGCGGGCTCCTTGGTTACTGTTGGGCAAAGAAAGGAATTCTGTGCTTCATGGAATGGGGCTGCTTGCAAAGAAAGATGGATGAGTTCATCGAGCAGTAGCCCAAGTGCCTTCACAGCCACCACTACTCTGGACCCCACTCTGCCCAGCCATGCCCAGTGCTGTCTGTGCCCTGACTCCCCATGACAGTGAGGTTAGGTGCTTCACTCTGTGCCTCCCCTCCCAGGGCCCAGCGCCAGGGACTGCCATGGGAAATGTTTAGGAGGAGAGCATGAGAAGGGAGAGAAGCTGGTGATGATCACTGAGACATGAAATCCAGGTTTCTCCATCCTCAGACTCTGTGCCTTCCAGGTGCGCTTCCTGGAGCAGCAGAACAAGGTCCTGGACACCAAATGGACCCTGCTTCAGGAGCAGGGCACCAAGACCGTGAGGCAGAACCTGGAGCCTTTGTTCGAGCAGTACATCAACAACCTCAGGAGACAGCTGGATGGTGTCCTGGGGGAGAGGGGCCGCCTGGACTCAGAGCTGAGGAACATGCAGGATCTGGTGGAGGACTTCAAGAACAAGTGAGATGGGGTGGAGTGGAGACTAATGTCTTCTTGGCACCAGATGTACTTGATAACCAGATTACCGCTTATGCCATCCCTGGGGGCTAGGCACTTATGCCTTCCATGGACACCTGAAGTACTGAAATAAAATCCAGGTCCATGTCTAGAAAGTTCCAGTCCCAAGCTCAATCCCTTTGCAAGGCACTTAGCCACTGGCCAGAGCAACAAGCTTGATGCCCCTGGGAAAATATCAAGCAGTGTATTTCCTGCTCTTTGGGGCTTTCTTCCCCAGTACGCTCAGAGTACACACCATGGGCTGTGTGATGGATTGCCTCCAATGCAAGAACTGATGATATGACTCACCTTGATGGCTCTAGTAATTATTTTAGTCCCCGTGCTGCTAGTTGTTTGTTGTCGTTGTTTTAAAAACTGTAAAAGCTGAAAAAAGCATTAAGGAAATTGACTAGATGTAGAGCTGGGAAGAAACAGCTCAGGTTTCTATAAGCATATTCTTCAAGCAACTGAATTATAGCAATAATAGTTAAAATAGATGGGCAGTTAAAAAGGAAATGGTGATCCTAATGAGTAAGGACCTTTCCCAGGAGGTCACACTCCCAGTACCCCCTCCCGCCCTGCTTTCATGATATAAAGAGAGGCCTCTTTCCAGTGGGGAAGCAGGCCCACAGTTGACTTTCTGCAATAAAGACCCTAGGCTTCACCTGCCCCTCATCTTCTAATAAGCCTTCCGTTTTTTTTTACCCCCAGGTATGAAGATGAAATCAACAAGCGCACCACTGCTGAGAATGAGTTTGTGATGCTGAAAAAGGTGCGTGGGTAGAAGAGAACCTGTTGCCTGTGGCTAAGCTCTCTTAGGGTGGCATTAATTTAAGTCAGGGTGGAAATCGGGTGTAGTGCCAACCATCCCTGTATCTCTAGGATGTGGATGCCGCCTACATGAGCAAGGTGGAGCTGGAGGCCAAGGTCGATGCACTGATGGATGAGATCAACTTCTTGAAGATGTTCTTTGAGGCGGTAAGAAATGCCCCCTACTCGGGCCCCAGAAAGATGGTCACTGGATCACCAACAGGGATTAGGTTATCCAGATTAAGTGACTTTCAGAGGCTCTGAAGCTGTGGACACACCCTTGTCCTTTTTATCCCTTTAGTACTATTCAAACTATTACTGATAAAGCCAATCCTAAAAAAAAAAAAAAAAAAAAAAAAAAAAAGAAGAAAGAAAGAAAGAAAGGAAGGAAGGAAGGAAGGAAGGAAGGAAGGAAGGAAGGAAGGAAGGAAGGAAGGAAGGAAGAAAGAAAGAAAGAAAGAAAGAAAGAAAGAAAGAAAGAAAGAAAGAAAGAAAGAAAGAAAAGCCAAATTTAAAGCAAATTCTTCAGCCATCATTTTGACGAGTGAGGTCTAGAGTGAGTTATAGGCACAGTATGCCTTTCCCAACCCTCCCCTCTTTAGTTTGTCCCAGTGTGGCAGGCCAGTCAACTAGATTCTTTTAAAATAAGTTCTGACCCAAGAAGATGGGTCATAGCTTACATCTGAGAGATTACACAGTAGGAATTTCTAGGAGGTTCAGAGTGGTTAAAGTTTTTTAATGATGGTTTGTATTATTAACATAACTAGATGTTTGATATAGGTGGTTATTATTTTTTTCTCAAGCTAATGTACCACAATGAGTGGAATATTTGAATGGACCTGACATAAAATAACAGATTCAGATGACTGACTTCAAGTCTCCTTGCAGGAGCTGTCCCAGATGCACACGCACATCTCAGACACATCTGTGGTGCTGTCCATGGACAACAACCGCTCCCTGGACCTGGATAGCATCATTGCCGAGGTCAAGGCCCAATATGAGGACATTGCTAACCGAAGCCGGACAGAAGCCGAGTCCTGGTACCAGACCAAGGTGAGTGTTTTGGTGAATGTATCCTGAGTGAGGGGATGGACTTGTGTCTGGGGATTCCAGGCCATGGCAACATGCTAAGGTCTCCTGAGACCTACTGAAAACTCTTGGGTTGAGTTACAAGAGCAGTCACATGTGCCTTTGCCACAAAAATTCAAGAACCTTAAGGAGAATCTCACACCAGTGTCTCCAGGAGAGCAAAAGCACTAAAGAGGAAATTTTCTAAGACCAGGCCCACCTCAATAAAGTCAAAACTAGCCCCAGGCCTCAGATAACACCACCACTTGCCACCTCTTGGTAGCTCCTGCCCATGAATATTGGGAAAGTGCTTTCATCCTCATATAAATGGAACTTTTTCTCTTTTTTGGCGGCACCAGTACGAGGAGCTGCAGCAGACAGCTGGTCGGCACGGCGAAGATCTCCGCAGCACCAAGCATGAGATCTCTGAGATGAACCGCATGATCCAGAGGTTGAGAGCGGAGATCGATAACGTCAAGAAGCAGGTAGGAAAAGGTCAAAAGAAGGCAATGAGGAGACCTGAGTTTTGAATATGGGGTGTGTGTGTGTGTGTGTGTGTGTTTAAAACATTTTCCTTGTTTTAAACACACACATACACACACACACACACACACACACACACACACAGGCAGGCATGCATGCATGCACACAGAGCTGGAACAAGAACCAGCGTTTCAATGTTCTCCCATCTACAATGACCAGGATAAATGTACTGACTTCTCTGTGGGAACTCAGAAAGAGATACCACAGGCCCAGCTCACTACTAAGGTGTCCACTCCACTTTTCTTCCTTTCCCTGTGTAGTGCGCCAACCTGCAGAATGCCATCGCTGAAGCCGAGCAGCGTGGGGAGATGGCCCTCAAGGACGCCAGGAACAAGCTAGCTGAACTGGAGGATGCCCTGCAGAAGGCCAAGCAGGACATGGCCCGGCTGCTGCGTGACTACCAGGAGCTCATGAACACCAAGCTGGCCCTGGACGTGGAGATTGCCACCTACAGGAAGCTGCTGGAGGGCGAGGAGTGCAGGTGGGCAACATAGGGCTGACATTACAAGCCCGGGATGGCCTCACATTTGATAAGTGGAGCTTCTTCTCCAGGATAGTGTGTAAAACACACACACAGGGGGCACTATCTTGTGCATGATAATTAACCATCATTAGTCTGGATTCAATCTGACACCTGGGCATACAGCTGACCTACACAAAAAGGTCCCAATTCAATTTTCTAACCCAGTTCCCACCACTGGTATTTTCAGATGCTACCCCTTTCGAACAATTAAGCAACTCAATCAATGTCCTACCCATTTTTTCAAGTACCTCTTCCTTCAGGAAGCCTTGCATGATCCCTCCAGCCAAGTTAAATCCACCTGCCTTTGGATTCTCAAGCTACTCTTTTTTTTTTTCAGTCTTCTAACACTGCCCTCTGCCTACTTTCTCGTAGAAATATTTTTGTCCATGCCAAGTCCTCTCACAGAATGTAAGCTCCTGCAGAGCAAAAACTGCCTCATACATTTTCATAGCTCCTGCAGTCTTAGCCATACTTTAAATACAGTGGGTGGAGGAGAATGTGAATTACAATTTTCCCTTTGATAACCTGGTTTTAGGCCAGGTCCTTTTCTTTGGGAAGTCCCTTCAGAGATTTATATTTTTCTCTAAATTTAAGCAGGGTGTGGGGTGGGTGTTTTTTTTTTTGTTTGTTTGTTTGTTTTTTTGTTTGTTTGTTTGTTTTTGTGGGTATGTTTTTGGTGTTTTTTTGCGCATATGGCTGGCAGCTTATAGATCAAGCTTTAAACATGACTATGGGTATTGTCTTTGGAGGAGTTTTTAACTCTTATTTCAATTGTTTCCTTTCAGACTGAGTGGAGAAGGAGTTGGACCAGTCAACATCTGTAAGTAACTTTAAACAAATATTAACAGTGATAATAATAATATGCAGTGTTTGGTGCCACCTCAGAATCTTGCTATTTCTGGATTCCAAATAGTCCCCATCCCAATAATTGGTCATTTCATACACTTAGTGGGGGGAAAGGATACATTTTGAGACTTGAAGTGATCTTATCTCTTAAAGGGTAGGACTGTATCTTACACATCTTGTACCCTGCCCCCCTGCCATGGTCCCCCCTTCTCCACCCCTCCTACCCCCTCCCCCTGAACTTAGCACCATCCCTTGTCTACTATGTTCACCAACTTCCTGTTAGGGACTTTAAATAAAAGACTTAGTTCTCCTGGGTCTCATTTGCTATGCTGTAAAGTGGCCAAGTACAGTGCTTATACTAGCAGGATCAGATATTTTGGACTTGAAGGATCAATCTGGCAGACTGCTCTCATAAGTTCTCCTTCCTTTCTCCGCAGCTGTCGTCACCAGCAATGTCTCCTCTGGCTACGGAGGTGGCTATGGTGGCTATATGCCTGGCACTGGCCTGGGCAGTGGAGGTCTTGGCGGCGGCCTTGGTGGAGGTCTTGGCGGCGGCCTCGGTGGAGGTCTTGGTGGTGGCAGTGGAGGTGGTTATGGAGTAGGTATTAGTGCTGGAGTAGGTATGAGCAGTGGGCTCAGTTTGGGGGGCTCTAGCTTCAGTTCGAGCAGTGGCCGAAACATGGGGATCAGCGGCAGCGGTGGAGGAGGCAGCAGCTCCAGCGTTAAATTTGTCTCCACCACCTCCTCCTCCCGGAAGAGCTTCAAGAGTTAAGAGCCTGCTTACTGCAAGTCACTGCCACCCCCGGCAGCAACCGGCCCCTGGAGACTGCCTCTTCTAGGTAGTTACCAAGCCAAGATTTCTCTTTTGCTGACGTGTAGTTCAGAACAAGCCTATAGCAGAACCACAGTCTTTGGTTCCCTAAATGTCCAATCCCTGGTCTCTAATCTCCTAGATCCTTTATTCTTCAAATCAGCCTTTCGTGGTCCTTGATGAGAGAAAAATCCAAAGTTTTCCAGTATCTAAATCATCAAAACAGAGACCCCTCCCCCCCCCCCCCCGCCCACCCCAATTCAAAAATTTTGTTCTGGTTCTGACTGCCTTCAGAGTGTGTTCAATAAAATGCTTTTATAATATAAATTGCTGTGTTGAATTATTTTTTCAGTCTACAGTCCTGAGGGTCACTCTGTCCAGGTGTGATTGGTTTCTTTGATGATTCACAGGGAGAATGGGGTGTGGCCATCCTGAGTGGTCCAGAGGCTCCAGGAGGCATGAGAGAGCTTGCTGATGCTTCAGGAATGAAGGACTTTCTGGAGGGGATGAATGGGAGTGTCCATTGTATTGCAATTTGGACAAACTGTAGATGTGTTAAGAAATAGCTATTGATCTTTTCAGCACCCACAATATTAGAGCAGGCCCAACATCTTTTAGGCCTTTTTGGGTTCTGAAGAAACCATATTCCTAATATAAATTTTACTTATGCCAATTAATACTGTTACTTGAATGTATATTTCTCTCGATACTAATAAAGCTTTCTGAAAAGAGCAAGCTGGTCCAAATACGCTGGGAAAGAGCAGGAAAGGAGACTATAGTGGAATTTTTATGGTTGTTGGGTTGGGGCCAGGTTTGAAGTTCCCACCAGTCACAAAGAAGGGGTTACTCAGGCTTTCTTATTCATTTTCTCAAATGTCAGTAGAAGAGGGAGAGGGAAGAGTGGAGCTTAGAAGCCCTCATGCCAAACATCAGTGCAGTAAGGCTAGTTTGACATTTTTGAAAAATAATGTAATGCACAACTTTAATAGAATAAAAGAAATCAAATGGTCATCTCTTTCCCAAACCAGACAACATGCATTATCCTTAATAGTGAATGATCAAGTTTCTCATTGACATTAGAAAGGAAGCAAAGATAACTATAATCATCAGAGTTATTCAGCATTATACTGGATGTGATAGCCAGTGAAATAAGACAAGACAAAGAAATAAAGCAAATTATAGTTATTCACAAATAACATAATTATATACATAGAAAATAAAAAGTTCTCCAAACTATTAGAATTAGTAAGTGAATTCATCACAGTCACTAGAAAACCAATACAAAAACTATTGTATTTCTGCATACTAGCAAGAAACAATTAGGAAATAAAATTTAAGGTACTATTTCCAATAGCATCAAAATTATCTAATATCTATCCCACATGAATGGCTCAGTTGGTTGAGCATTGTCCTGTGCACTGAAAGGTCATTGGTTCAATTCCCTGTTAGGGCATGTTCAGAAGACAACTGATCAATATTTCTTTCTCACATTGATGTTTCTTCTGTGTATCTTCTTTGGACAAGTGTCTGTAGTGTTTGGCCTATTTTCTAATTGGGTTGTTAAGTTTTCTTATTGTTGAGTTTTATTTTTTTATTTTTTTTAAATATATTTTATTGATTTTTCACAGAGAGAAAGGGAGAGGGATAGAGAGCTAGAAACATCAATGAGAGAGAAACATTGATCAGCTGCCTCTTACACACCCCCTACTGGGGATGTGCCCGCAACCAAGGTACATGCCCTTGACCGGAATTGAACCCGGGACCTTTCAGTCCGCAGGCTGACGCTCTATCCACTGAGCCAAACCAGTTTCGGCTTATTGTTGAGTTTTAAATATTCTCTCTCTCTCTCTCTCCTTTAAAATCAATATAAAAGCCGAAATCGGTTTGGCTCAATGGATAGAGCGTCAGGCATATTCCCAGTAGGGGGTGTGCAAGAGGCAGCTGATCAATGACGCTCTCTCATTGATGTTTCTAACTCTCTATCTCTCTCCCTTCCTCTCTGTACAAAATCAATAAAATATATTTTAAAAAAATAAAATCAATAAAAAATAAAGTTTTAAAAATTGTATACCTACATCTCACTCATATATAGAAAATCACAAAAGCTTATTGGAAATGACTAACGAAAACTTAAAAACACATACACATAAACAGAGGTATATGCCACATGTGTGAATTGGAAAGCTTAATTTGCAAACATGTCGGTTTCCCCCAATTGAACTATGAACTCAAAGCAATTTCAATAAAATTTCAGCCAGTATTTTATAAAAATTGATATGCCTATTCTAAAATTTATATGGTAATAAAAAGATATAAAACAATCTTGAAAAAAAAGAACAAAGTTCTTTTAGTTCCAAATACTGAGATTTTTTATAAAGATATAGTAATTAAGAAAGTGTAGCCGAAACCGGTTTGGCTCAGTGGATAGAGAGTCAGCCTGCAGACTCAAGGGTCTTGGGTTCGATTCCGGTCAAGGGCATGTACCTTGGTTGCAGGGACATCCCAGGTAGAGGGTGTACAAGAGGCGGCTGATCGATGTTTCTCTCTCATCGACGTTTCTGACTTTCTATCCCACTCCCTTCCTCTCTGTACAAAATCAATAAAATATATTAAAGAAAAGAAAGTGTGGTAGTGAGGAAATGACTGAAAAATGGGCCAATGAAACAATATATAGAATTTTCCCAGCAAAAGACACTGTCCAAAGAATAAGAAGTCAGGCTACAGACTGGGAGAAAATATTGCAAATGACAGATGCAATAAAAAGGCTGTTATATGAAATATATAGAATATTTAAAACTCAACAATAAGAAAACTTAACAGCCCAATTAGAAAATAGGCCGAACACTACAGACACTTGTCCGAAGAAGATACACAGATGACAAGTAAGCACATGAAAAGATAATCCACATCATAGGTCATCAGGGACATGCAGGTTAAAACAGAAAGGGAGCACTACATACCTATTAGAAAGCTGAAGACCTCAAACTGACAACAGTAAATTCTGACAAGGATGTCACGCAAGAGCTCTCATTCATTGCTAGTGGGAATGCAAAATAGTACACCACGCTAAAGACAATTTGGCAGTTTCTTACAAAACTAAACATACTCTAACCAAACAATCCAACAATTATGCTTCTTAATATTTACCCAAATGAGCTGAAAACTTATCCTATATAATAAAAGGGTAATATGCAAATTGACCCTAACCGTGGAATGACCAGGAACAATGGTTGCTATGACGTGCACTGACCACCAGTGTGTTTCCACAGGAGGAGCACTGCTCAGCCAGAAGCCAGATCAGAATTAGCCGGATCAGAAGCAGCGGTAGTGGCAGCGCTAGCCATTATTAGGACATCCCCCAAGGGCTCCCCGGGCTGCCAAAGGAGTGTCTGATTGCCAGCTTAGGACCGATCCCCCTATGAGTGGGCCTAAGCCGGCGGGTGGATATCCCCTGAGGGCTCCTGGACTTCCAGAGTGGTCCTGGACTGCCAGACCAGGAGTCCTGGTCTGAGGGACACCCCTCCCCACCCCAGTGCACTAATTTTGTGCATGAGGCCTCTATTATATACACAAAAACCTACACATGATGTTTATAGCAGCACTAGAGGCCCAGTGCAAGAACTCATGCATCAGTGGGGTCCCTTGGCCTGGCCTGTGGGATCAGGCCAAACTGGCTCTCTGAGATTCCCGAAGGGGTCCTGAATTGCTAGAGGGTGCAGGCCAGGCCAAAGGACCCCACTGGTGCACGATTGGGGCCAAGGAGGCATTCCAGAGGTTGACCAGCCAGGGAGGGACCACAGGTGGGCCCCAGGGTGTGTCCAGCCCATCTCACTCAGTCCTGATCAGTCAGACCCTAGCAGCAAGCTAACCTACTGATTGGAGCGTCTGCCCCCTAGTGGTCACTGCACATCATAGATAGTGGTTGAGTGGCCTTAGCATATCATTAGCATATTATGCTTTGATTGGTTGAATGGCTGACTGAATGACCAAACACTTAGTATATTAGCTTTTATTATATAGGATGGATTCATCAATTGTTACAAATGTACACTGCTATGGGATGTGGATAGTGGCGTAGGGGGGCGCTATTGTGTGAGTGGGGAGTGGGTATAGGGGAACTCTCTGGTCTCTATTCTTTCTGCTCAATATTGTTGTGAACCTACACAGCTCTAAAAATTAAACTTCATTATTAAAAATAGTACAACCAATTGAAACACTAATAAACATTTACGTGTGTGTGTGTGTGTGTGTGTGTGTGTGTGTGTGTGTATGGTGTGCCTGTGGCTGGGCTGACCATACATTTACTCTTGATGCAGCAATTTTATTCCTAGGTATTTACTTGCACAAAATGAAAACATGCACCACACAAAAGTTCACAAGTATGTTCAGAACTGCTTCATATAAGGTAACCCCAAACTGGAAATATCTTAGGAATGCACCAGTCTGAATGGGTAAAGAAACTGTGGTATATTCATACAATGGCACATCACTCAGCAATAAAAAAGAATGAACTGTCAAATATCACAACAATCTATATGAATATCAAAAACATTTTGCTGCATCACACACATACACACACACACACACACACACACATACATACACACATACACACACACACACAATTAAAGTATATGCTCTATGACAGTGTTTTTCAACCTTTTTTGGGCAAAGG